AAAGGCCTATATAAGTTCTCTCCAAAAGAACGCCACGTGAGTGCAATCAGTCTGAAGAGTTCAATACGAACGAAACTAGTCACTGACACTCGGGATAAGCTGGTCTTCATAGACACTCTTATCTTTTGTATGATACATCTAACTTGGCATTACCACTTGCAAATTTATCTTTTTATGAACCATCTAGAAATAAAAATTGTTTATGACTCTACTTAACTGAGCAGAAAATGTTTAACCTTATTTCGTCAGGCTATTGATGTAATGACCTGTACACCTAGTTTCATCCCTCCCCCTCATTTGGCCACAGATCACTAATGATTTCCCCATTGACTTTAATGTTAATTCTCGTCTTAGACCGGCTTTAACTTTTTCCCAAATTTTCTTTGAGAACGCTTTCTACCACAGATAGAGCAACATGTGGCAACCTCTTGTTCAAAAGCATGTATGAGGTTCACCATGGAAAACTTGAGATGAAATGAAATGAAATGGGGTTTAACGTCCTACTTTTTTGCTCCGAACTGGGCTAATGAAGACGGGCATACGCCATACAGTGTGCTATGAGGGAAATTTTGCCTGGACAGCGGCACTACAGCCTACTCTTATATCGAATTCCAACTGTCAAGGGATCTTTTACGTGCACGCCAATGTGTACACGGGACCTCGGTTTTTCGTCTCATTCGAATGACTAGACAGCTGTACTTGTCAGGCCCTCCGTCCTGCATCACTGACAAGGGGGAACCACAGAAAACTTGAGATACACAAACTGGAAGTAAAGACCAGTAAACATGCAATTTTCCACCCCACGTTTCAACCTAACCAACCACTCAACTCTAGTATCCTTCCATCTCAAAATCATAAATATTCGCCAAAACCTGGCAGAAAATGTATTTTCAAACCCTTTTCTTCAATTCTACAGCAAAAAGTCAACAAAAAACACCATGCAAAAGGGGGAAAAAGGGAGAGAACTACTAAAAATAACTTTCACCCTTCATTCGTGGGTGACAGTGTAGGAATATTTGGTGAGCTGTGTCCTATATAGATGTAGAGTTATTGAGCCCTAAAGTCTCGGCCAATCAAAAATTGCTTATCTCTGCTTACAATCTAAGCCGAAAATTCTCATTGACAAGTGGGGGACAATATCTCTAATTTTGCTATATCACTTTACAAACTTAGAAGTAACAGGAAATGTTGTCAGTAAGATTCAGAACTAGGTCACTGACTGGCTAGCTCATTGCTGAGTACTGAGTGAGAAAATAATAAAATAACGGGTTCCATAGATTAAAGAGACGACAGACCTGAATTCAAATACAGAGAAATAATACCATGCATGATCCAAAAACTCAGTCTTTGCCCAATACAATGTTGATACTAAATTGATTGGTTGTGCCAATGGCCATCATTTTCTATTGGTTTCACCCTGCCATATTTATATATCCAAGATAAATAAACCAAATATAATTCTATCTTTTTCATACATACCAACAAATTCTATTTATAGGCACTTACAATTGGTTGCTTAGATAATAACGGTCCTTATTACAATGAATATTACTTTGGAGATATTTTTGAAACATCTGAGAATTTTGGCAGGTTGACTCTTTAAACCATATATGTATACAACAAGCTATATATCATTATTATCTCTGTGAACACCTGTCTTGTAAAATATCAAGAAAGAAATAGTGTCCTGTATTTAAAAAAAAAAAAAACAATAATCATTGATTATGTCCATTTCTTATCATCATATAAAACACACCTTGGATTGTTAAGACTCCAAGAGACATTTCCACTTTTCAAAAATATTTTTTAAGTCTTACATGAAATATCAATTTATTCTGCTGTCTGAGCCAAGACTCCAAGAGACATTTCCACTTTTCAAAAAAATTTTTTAAGTCTTACATGAAATATCAATTTATTCTGCTGTCTGAGCCATGCTAAAAAATAAAGTGTTTCCATCCTGTATGAACAAAGCAATCAATTACGGTTATTAAATATGTACCATTTTTTTCAAAGTCGCATTCGCCACTCCAGTAAAATAAAATCCACTGTACCATTTAATATTCTCTTTTGAAAAATTGAACTCAGCACAAATTTTGTCATCAGGAAAAACCATAATAGCAGCTAATTGTGTCACTCGTCAGGACAGATCATTTTGAACAAACAGGTACATTGTGCTATATATCCAAACAATTTTGCAAAATTTTAAGTTTAACACAGTTTTAATTTGTGGGGCTCCCTAGTCCCTACATATTGTTAAAGGGACTATCCCGATTTGAACAGTCTCAAAAATAAAAGTCTGAGTACGTATGAAATTTAAGCGCCAAAATATCAGCTCAAAATATTGAGTCATTTGGATGTGAATTGCAAAACTGTTTATCCAGACACGTAACCCTTTTTTCCTTGGGTGTTCTGATAATCGATTCCTGTTCCTTTACAGTTCTATACAGTGAATGACCCATGTGCTGTACTTGATAACAAAAGGTAAATTTCATCTACACATTATTTTTATAAAATAAAAGTCTGGTTTTATCCTAGTTACTTTAGTAACAATGGCTGATGGAGGCAAGCCTCTCATCGTTACTGTCCCTTCCTATTAACATGTAATAAGAAAATAACGCTTTACACCAACTCGGTTCTAAGGCTATTTTCGAATCCTTACCGTCTATTTTTCACCATGATTCTTCTTCGTTCGCCGAAAGGAATCATTTCTCGACACACCTGACACAAATTTAAAATAATTCAAAACTATTTTCTCAAGTAGAATTTTGCGAATCCAAAACATAAACAAATTCATTTAAATTGGACTGGCATGACGAAAAAGGCATTTGCGTAGACCGGAGGTCACGGGTTCGCCTCTGTGCTCGCCAATATTCAAAATCTAGGAATGGATTCTAACCGTTAACGAAAATTCTTGCTATACTTCAATTATGTATTAATTGATTTTATATAATAATCCTTTATATAAGTTGAATACAAAAACTTTAGTCCATTAATTGAAGTACAGTAAGAATTTTTCTATACGGTAACATTCCATTTCTAAATTTTGAATACTAGCTGAGGAAAGCCATGAACCTGTGACCTCCGGTCTGTGCAAGTGCCTTTTTCATCATGGCCCTCCAATTCAAATGAATTTGTTTATGTTTTTGAATCACAAAATTCTACTTGAAAAAAGTGTTGAATTATTTTAAATTAGTGTTAGATTTGTCGAGAAATGATTCCCTTTGGCAAACAAAGAACAATCACGGTGAAAAATAGACGGTAAGGATTCCAAATTGGCCTTACAACCGAGGTGGTGTAAATCGTTATTTTATTATTACATGTTAATAGGACTGGACAATAACGATGAGAGGCTTGCCTCTATCAGACATCATTACTAAAGTAACTAGTTTTATCCAAACACTGCATAATACAGCTTGGACACCAGGTTTAAGTTGTTTGACAACGTATCACATATACTGAGTTAGTTGCTCAGCCCTAAGGTAGAGGATTTTAAGGGATTTTAACACAAAATTAAGCAGTTTTATTCTCTAAAATATTATCAGGATTGGCCCTTTAAGCTTTTCAAATAAGTAGTTTAATTATGTAGTTTATTCATAGGTAATGAAAACACTTGGTTTTCTAGCATGGCTCTAAACAGTAGGCACTTTTAGAATTCTAGTGACTAGTATACATGTAGATAATGTACTTTCTGGTTATTTAGGATTCTAGTCAATAGAAAAAGTATTCTCTTGGTATTTAGAATTCTAGTAAATAGATAATTTTTAGCTGGCAGTATTTAGAATTCTAGTAATTAGATAATTTATTCTAGTGATATCTAGATAATTTGTGACTTATCTTGCTTTAGCTGCTTTATAAATTGGATAAAACAATACACCACTACAATTAAAACAAATTGATAAAATTTATCCACCTTTGTTGTAAACCAGTTTTATATTACAAGTCAAAGCTGAATAAAGTTTGAAGAGCCCCACCCACTACCATATTATAAGTAGACAATACATGTTAATAGTCATACCTCAAAAGGCTCTCTCTTATGTACTGTGGATATAGATATCTATTGTTTACTGGTAGACTATTTAAAGCAGACTGTACCAAAATCAATAAAGAAGCCATAAGGTACCAAAACAAAAGAATAAACTCTAGAATCATTTATATGACACCCTACAGCAGTATGTCCAAGAAGTAGAATAATAAATAAATAACTTATTATGGAGCTACTATTTATAAACTATTATATTTTTTCAGTGTCCACAGCCTACAGAATATGTAGGTAGGTGTAAAAATTAAGCTGATAATAAGTGACATTAACATGATAGTACTGGTAAGAAGTAAAACCATGACATAATAATATTAACAAGTTATAAAGTAACATGGTGACAAAATATTGATAATGCCTTTATTGTTTGCTATTGAGAGTTTGTCAACACAGCCCTTTAAACTGTGTGACATTCAAACTAAAAGTTCTAGTAGTGCAGTAGTTTACATAATTACATTACCATGGACCCATGATTACCTATTTGTGTAAAATATTCTGAATAATTGCCAATGTCAGGTTATAACTTATATAATTTGCAAAAATATACATAAAATCGCCCAAAAGTTATATTATATAAATAATTGTTTAATCATAAAGTGTCAAATATCAATGTTGCAATAAAATGGCTTACACACATGTACATGTGTTAAAAATTAAGCAGCGGAAAATAACTCTAAGGTACTGCTAACCATGGGTTAATTCTTTATGTGATTTTAAAATTTAAAACTGAACAAACTTGGACCTGGTATTTACCTGAGTAACATTCAGAAACTAAATCTAAGCAGTATAAATAAATAACCACTTTAACCTAACTGTCCTCTTGAGCTATGGTATGCTCTGATAGTTAGATCAGTCCATACTATACTGTTGGGGAGTATAGGAAGTTGTACATTAAGATGGTTGAATGTATTTCTTTCTTTACAATTTCAGTCAATATATAATTAAAACTGAAACAATTACATACCTAATTAACATTTAAGTGTGTCTTTTGTGTAACAGGAATATACATTTGTAAACATGGAAATCTTTTTTTTTCTCTAAACATGAAAACCTTTTTTTGTCTGTAAAATGAGGAACCCAGCTTATATTCTCATCAAATATTTAATAGGCTTTGTTATCACAATCGGGCTTTAGTACATGTACACACAGGAAGTCAGGCACTTGTAAAACGTGAATTTTTTTTTTTCAAAAATAACATTAAGCTGTGTCCAAGTAGTATGTCTAACTCCTTTGTTGGTATTCACATGTCCAGTTTGCAACCTTTGATCCAATTCTTTCTTCTCTGTAAAAATTTTAAAAATACACCGTTTTACCAAAACCATGTTGTTATTGAAATGAGAAATAAAGTTTCAGAAGAGTTATTTGCTCCTGAATTTGATAATCTTGCTCATTATGTGAATACAAATGTAATAGGATTTGGGCATGTACTTAGCCTTAGCTTAAAGGGGAAGACCAACGATTTTCAATAAGGTTTCCATAAATAATAAATATATATTTAGAAATAATCCCTCCTATAACATATGCAAAAAATAATTTGCAAGCGAGAAATTAGTTTTTATTAATACCGGAAGTGACGTAGTTGGTTCGACACGCTCACTGGTCACTATAGTAAACATACAAATTTGGAGTAAGTTTAGCGCTGTACTTTGTGATCGTTTCGCCGTTTGGCGGAAAATCTGTTGAAAGGTAATTTTTATTAGGATATTAAGAACAAGAACTTACGGTGTTTTGAAGGTATAATATACAATGCGTTTGTGTAAATTAAGTTTCTAAACTGGACACTGTGACACAATTTAAGCCACATGGCTAATTGTTTACATCACGTGATAGCTGGCACGTGACAGATATTAACCGAACACAAATTGGCGACCTATTCGGCTAACGAACAGGTTGCCAGCTGGATCGGTCGAATAGGTCGCTAGCTGAATAGGTCGCCAATTTGTGTTCGGTTAATATCTGTCACGTGCCAGCTATCACGTGATGTAAACAATTAGCCATGTGGCTTAAATTGTGTCACAGTGTCCAGTTTAGAAACTTAATTTACACAAACGCGTTGTATATTATACCTTCAAAACACTGTAAGTTCTTGTTCTTAATATCCTAATAAAGATTACCTTTCATCAGATTTTCTGCCAAACGGCGAAACGATCACAAAATACAGCGCTAAACTTACTCCAAATTTGTATGTTTACTATAGTGACCAGTGAGCGTGTCGAACCAACTACGTCACTTCCGGTATTAATAAAAATTAATTTCTCCCTTACAAATTATTTTTTGCATATGTTATTGGAGGGATTATTTCCAAATATATATTTATTATTTATGGAAACCTTATTGAAAATCGTTGGTCTTCCCCTTTAATGTTATTTTTGAAAGAAATTGTCCAATTTCTAGTCTGTGCATGTACATTCACAGTGCAAGCTGATATCTGACCAACAGTCATATACCCAACATCTTTAAATATCAAAGGTCTGGCAGAAGGCAGATGCTCTTCGACTAGTCTAATATTGATTCTAGGGGGGAGAAGTACATGTCCGATTTGGATTGAATAAACAAAATAAATAGATGACACATAAATTAATCGCACATTTATTTTTTTCAAAAGTATCGAGCAATCAAACTATACACTAAGTTACATCACTCTCTATCAGATAGAATCAAGATTATCTTGTCCCAAAGCATCGACCAATGAAATTGATTACATGTAGCTCTGCTTAGTTTCAGCATGAAATGTTAATTTAAATCATTGAACTCAGTCAAGACGTTCACCTAATGAACATTTACATCAAGTTTAAACATTCTACCTCAGTTAAAAGCAGAGTTGTTATGTTCCAAAGTCTTGACCAATCAAGTTGCTTATCGCTCCTTAGCCTAAGCAGAAAATTCGCACCATCGAACTTAGTCAAGGTAATGATATAATGAATCTATATTCAGAGTTTCATCAATTTCACTTAATTATAACTAAAGTTATCGTGCCCCAAAGCAACAACCAATCAGATTGCTTATCTCTGCTTACTGTAAGCAATGTTCATCATCGAACTCCATCAAGGCATTCACCTAATGAACGCCTACACCAAGTTTGAACATTCTACCTCAATTAGAAGGAGAGTTATTGTGTTCCAAAGTCTCGACCAATCAAATTGTTTATCGCTCTGTTTACCCTGAGCAGAAAATGTTCATTATCCAAATTAGTCAAGGTAATTTTATGTAATAAAGCTATATACCAAGTGCCCTCACTCTCACTTAATTAGAATTAAAGTTATCGTGTCCCAAAGCGTTAACCAATCAAATTGCTCATCTCTGCCTACCCTAAGCAGAAAATGCTCATCTTCGAACTTCATCAAGGCATTGACCAAATAAACACCTACACCAAGTTTGAACATTCTAGCTCAATTAGAAAGAGAGTTATTGTGTCCCAAAAAGTGTGACGGACGGACGGACGGACAGACAGACGGACCCATTTGAATAGTCCCCTGCTTTCTTTGAAAGGCGGGGGACAAATATGAAAACCTTGTTAATTAAAAGCTCATAACTGAAGTGATAATTACTGATATTAAGTGGGAAATGGAACAACAACTACAATGTTAACTAGATCTGCCAGGCAGATATGAAAGCTTTCATATTCACGGTGACTTCCTGTCACATGTCATGGCTTATATAAAGAATCTTAAAAAGGAAAAAGAATTATTAAAATCGTCAAAAAACTAACTGAAACATTTCAACCAGGAAAAATTCGCTGTTACCAATTAAATCGGTCAAAAACTGCCCAAGTCATAACAACCAGGCATCACTTCATATCAGCTTTTGTCAATCAGTCTTAAAGAGAACAGAATTACATGTATTAACTAGGTTATCAGGGTAAACATTTTCTGTTTTAACAGTTTAAGTTGCACAGTACCTGTGATTACCAACCGATTTTTACAAAACTTGAAAAATAAGCTCTCACTGACCAGCTTAATGGTTTGCAATCAATGTTTGACCTAAATTGAAGTTCTGCACTTTTAAGTTGCAAATAGTATATAATTCAGGAAATTACGGTCCGATATGTGCGAATATCGAAAGGAACTGAGATCTTTTGGTTATAAACTTACATTTCAAGTTTCATCAAAATAAGAAGAAAATTGTGACCTCTAGAGTCCACAACCTTGATATATCATATTTTTCCGGTATAATTTGAGAACGAGGGGCGGCCATTTTGTCTGTCAGTTTTGGTCCTATTTCTACGAAATACGAACTCAACAATCCTTAGGGTGTAACGGTGATATATTCAAACGTTTTTTTTAAAATCAGATAAAAATTATGACCTCTATAGGGTCCACAAGCTAAAAACGCGATTTTTTGTACAGTCAGGGGCCACAATCCATAAGTTTCGGTCTGATACATGCCAATATCGAATGTGACCTGTAGAGTGTCCACAAACAATTGTGGTCGGATGGACAAGGGCGACAGCAATAAAAATTGTGACCTCTAGAGGGTCCACAACCTTGATATACCATATTTTTACACTATTAGTGTAGGAGGGGTGGCCATTTTGTCCGGCAGTTTTGGTCAACCATTATTACGGTGTAACGGTGATATATTCGAACGGTATTTTAAATCGGATAAAAATTGTGACCACAAGCTAAAAACACGATTTTTCGTACAATCAGGGGCCATAATTCAGGAAGTTACGATCCAATATGCGCAAATATGAAAAGGAACCAAGATCTTTGGGTTATAAACATGCATTCCAAGTTTCATCAAAATTGGATCAAAATTGTGACCTCTAGAGGGTCGACAACCTTGATATACCAGATACAATATTTGCGTACGAGGGGCGCTCATTTTGTCCAGCAATTTTGGTCAGATTTTCACGAAATTCAATGTCAATAAACATTACGGTGTAACAGTGATATTCTAACGTTTTTTTTACATCGGATAATAATTGTGACCTCTAGAGGGACCACAAGCTAAAAACATGATTTTTCACACAATTAGGGGCCATAATTCAGGAAGTTACGATCCGATATGCGCGAATATCGACAGGACCTCAATAGGGTCCATAAGCTAAATACGTGATTTTTCGTAGAATCAGGCATCATAATCCATGAAGTTACGGTCCGATACATGCCAATATCGAAAGGAACCGAGATCTTAGGGAGATAAACCTATATTTCAAGTTTCATTGAAATCGGATAAAAATTGTGACCTGTAGAGTGTCCACAAACAAATTGTGGACGTATAATAACCGATATTAAAAGATATTGAACCAAAAGAGAGGGAAATGGCGTTTCTCGACAAACTGCATAGGGTTAAATTTTATTTCAATAATTCGCTTGCGCGTAGGGGTCTTTAGCAGTAGGAGGAAACTAAAGGACCCAGAAAAAACCCACGAGGTTGGACAAGCGACCCAGAGAAAACCTGAGGACCCAGAGAAAACCCACGAGGTTGGACTCTACTTACCACGTACCCCACTCCACCCCAGATATTGAACTAAGTTTAAGAGAGTTTTATCTAAGCCGATGTCGTGACCATATGTGCTTTTAATTGCGCCAATTTATGTTTATAGACCTATTCCATATTATTTCACTTTGCCTGATTTTACTTAGGCTACCAGTTTGTAGATGACGATTTCACAGTGATTGCAATATTAACAGGGGCGATGACAAGATATTATACTTATCTCCATAATCTTATCTAAATTATTATACGTTTTATGCAATTTAAAAATGCCATTTTTATTCCATTTTGTATAATTATGGTCACTTCCTGTCACATGTCATGGGTTATATAAAGAATCTTATCAAGAAAAAATAATTATTAAAATCGCTCAAAAACTCGCAAAGTTATAAGCTTAAATATAGCGAAACACATAGCGAAAAAATAATCTGAAAAATAAAAGAAAATAACTGAGACTTGTATAGCTGTAATCTGATGAATTCCAGTTTTAGAATTTTCAGAAAAATCAATCAAGCCATTTAAAAACGAGACGGATCAGAAAATGAAATGAAAATGGCTGGAAAAATCTCAAAGTTATGGCCTGAAATTTACAAATGTCAAAAGGGACTGAGATCTTTGGGATAAAAAGATATGTTTTATGTTTCATCAAAATCGGATAAAAATTGTGACTTCTAGAAGGTCCACAACCTTCGTATTACACACTTCTACACAATTTAGGTACAAAGAGCGGCTATTTTGTCAGGCAGTTTCATTTAGATTTTACCGAAATTCTAATTCAACCTTGATTATGAATGAATGGTTTTGTATTTAAATGGTTTTTAAAATCAGAAAAAAAATTGTGAC